AGTAAAATATTGACTTTTGTGCCAAACCTTCATTTACAATAATAATAATATAAGGTTTCATTTAAAAGAGATGTTATTGAGACTCATCCTTGGTGTGAGCTAGGACCTGCCACACTTGCAGATGACGTAAAACAAACTTTTAAGATAACCTTTAAGAGGACAACAAAATGGAATATAGAAAAACATAAATACAAATTAAGACGAAGAAAAAGTTCAAAGGTTACACCGACATAAACGCGTTATTAATAACTTTGTATGGTACGTTTTGCAACTTCATAGGATAGGAATCAGCAACGTGATTAATACAACTCAATCTTTTAAGGAGGGCCATGCAGATCTGAGTTAGTTGAAAACTTAATTTTGGCATCATTATTATTTAAGTTCTTGTTAAGATCTTATTATTCTTTAAGATCTTAGAGTTCCTTACTAGGAAATGTTTACTAAGATTTTTACAGTAACTTAATAAGATCTTAATAAGATCGTATTAAGTTACTGTAAAAATCTTAGTAAAAAAAAAAAATTCCTAGTAAGGAACTCTAAGATCTTATTAATAAGATCTTAATAAGATCTAGTAAGATCTTAAGGATGACAAAGACATTAAGATATTGACAAGATCTTATTAAGAAATCTTTCAAGATATGATATCTTAATAAGATCTTACAAGAACTTAATAAGATCTTAATCTTAATAAGCATCTTACAAGATTCTTACAAGATCTTACAAGATCTTAATAAGATTTCCACCTGGGAAGACAACACTTCTTACTTTGCAACATCTTTTAGAATTCTGGGTTTCTGAACCACAACTAAGTAACAAACATATGCTTGCCATGCTAAATAATAATAGTCAGAATTATTGCTGACTAAACAATAACATCCTGAACAAAATTTTGGGCTATTTATACAGGGCTTCTGATATTTCGCGCAGTCGCGGACACGAGAAATACCACGAAATCTGCCAGAAATATTTCCAAATACATGTCGCAAAACATATTTAATACTTATCTTGGCTATTATATCTGTTTTATTCACCCCAAACGTCCAAATTTATCTTAAAACTTCGTCACTGCAACGAGTAAACAATGTCCCAAAACTACCAGGCGTTTTTAGATGAAATGTCCCAAAACTACCAGGCGTTTTTAGGTGAAATCAGCCGATTTTTCTGCGAATTTTGACTTTTTTCCCGCGAAAATCCCGCGAAATTTTGCTTTTTTTTCCGCAAAATGTCAGAAGCCCTGTTTATATTGTGCACATTATGTTAATTGAAATAATTAAAGAAAGCATAAACACAATAACATTTGTTAGAGGTTTCACATACACATAAAGTTAATATCCAGAATTTTGATAATCAAAATTGGGGGGATCTTTTGTATATAGGAATCTCTTATACTCACCAGGTTGAACAGGTTCTTCTAAACTTGAGTATTAAAAAGCCAAATTTCAGCCTGTAGGTTCTTAATCTTTGGGTTCTTATATGAGGGTTTTTACTGTACTTTGACGTAAATTCACTCAACTGTTTTTTAAGGAAATGGGAGATTATTCTGGAGAATCTATATGTCAATATTGGGGCCTAAAGGGTTATTTTCTGTAGTACATGTAATAACGTCACTGTGATGTATCGATAGTGTTGTCTACCGGAAGTTGTGTTAGCGGAAGTTCTCGGATTCTGTAAACGTGCAAAGGATCATGGATATTTGTGTGGGCCATGCTTTCCGGGTGTCATGGCGGTCAAATAAAGTGTAGTTTCTTGCATAGTTAAATCTGGTTTATTACACTGCCATCCGGGCGTCATTGTTACATTGGAGACGAGGATTCAATTCGTTTTGTGAGGTGGTGGATGTTTTGGAAGTCATTTGTGCGGAAAGTCCTAGTATTTTGTCAGGAAGATGATGGACAGTGGAACCACTTCGAGTACTACTTCAAGTTCAAAAGCTTTGCCAACCGCGGACGTTTGTTCCTCTCCTTGATGTGGCCAGCCTTCCTCCCTTCAATCCAAAGGAAGATCCGAACACCCTTGCAGTTCGCTGGAAGTTGTGGAAACGCTCGTTCAATCTGTATTTGGTGGCAAAAGGGATTACGAAAGATGAACAGAAAACTGCATTGCTGTTGTATACTGGAGGGTTGAATTTTCAGGAGCTTTAATTATTACACGTTATTGACCGGTACGGATATCAAGCCGTTCGCTGAGAGTATGAAGTTGTTGGATAACTGTTCTGCACCACAGTTGAACGTTCCATTCGAAAGGCATCAGTTTAGGCAAATGGAGCAAGCGTCAGGAGAGTCGGTGGATCAGTTTGTTTGTCAGTTGAGGCAGAAAGCGATCTTCTGCGAGTTTGAAAATGTTGATGAGGCAATAAGGGATCAGCTTATTGAGAGATGCAGGGATCCCAGACTTCGCCGCAAGTTCCTTGAAAAAACAAATGCTACTCTGAAGGATTTACAAGATTTGGCTCATGTGCAGGAAGCAGTTAACATGCAGGTCAAGGCTATGGATCAGTCATCCGGTCAGGTAAATGCTGTTTCCGGCAGACCTCACAGCAAAGGAAAAGGAAAAAGGGACAGTGCAGGGTAAAAACAGAGGAAATAATCCTGGTAAACTGTCTGGTGGTTCTCAGGAGACAAAAGTGAGAGGCTGTTTTCGCTGTAATTACACTGACCATAAGGCACGTGACCCGAATTGTCCTGCCCGTAGCAAGAATTGTAATGCATGCCGCGAGATTGGACATTTTGCAGTCTGTTACAAAACAAAGGAACGCAAACCTCTTACAAGAGATGACGAGGGAAGGAATAATACACGGGGTAGTGCCTATCAACTAGCAGAGGATTCAGCTACTGGCCAGCAAGATTATTTTGCATTTACAGTTGGAGTCGGTCAGCCTACAAGTGGTGGTGAAGTTGATTTGAAGGTTGGAGGAGTGACGTTACCAGCGGTACTTATTGATTCTGAAGCGTCGTGCAATGTGATTGACCAAGCAACCTGGGAAGTTTTAAAGAAGAAGAGTGTCCAGTGTGAGTCCAAGAAATCAAGCAAAAAGTTGTTTGCTTATGGACAGAAAGATCCTATTGAGGCGATTGGGACATTTGTGTCTGAGATTGTGTGCAAGATCAGTGGCAACAGTTGTGTGGACGATTTCGCAGTGGTTAAAGGTCCAGGAAGATCTCTACTCGGAAAGAACACTGTAGAGAAGTTGGGCGTGTTAAGGGTCGGTCCAGATGTGTGTTCATTAACAGTTGAAGGAAGTCATGCCGACATCCGTGAGAAGTATAGAGAGGTTTTTACAGAGGTTGGGAAGCTGAAGGATTTCAGCTGAAATTACATGTAAAAGACGATGTCACGCCGGTTGCACACCCCGTACGGATACTGCCATTTGGGTTAAGAGCCAAGGTTGACGAGACGTTGGATGAGCTGTTAGCCAAAGACATCATCGAGGAGGTGTCACACAACCCAACTGAGTGGGTGTCGCCGTTGGTTGTTGTCTCGAAGACGGACGGTGGCGTTCGGATTTTCGTGGACATGCGCAGGGCGAATTCAGCAATAGAGAGGGAAAGACATCCCATCCCTACAATTGAGGAAGTCTTGTACGACCTTAATGGGTCAACTGTCTCCTCAAAGCTCGATCTCAAGTGGGGCTTCCACCAGGTGGAATTGGAAGAAAGATCGCGCGAGATCACGACGTTTGTTACACACCGTGGTTTGTACACGTACAAACGTTTGATGATCGGGGTAACATTGGCGCCTGAAAAGTACCAGAAAATTGTGGCAGATGTTTTGCATGGTTGCGAGGGAGTGGCTAATTTGGCAGATGATTTGATTGTGCATGGTTGTGGCATAAAGGAACACGACAGGAATTTGCATGCTGTACTGACCCGATTGAAAGAGAAAGGACAAACCTTGAATGGGGACAAATGCCAGTTTCGTCTTCCCAAGCTTACATTCTTCGGTCATGATCTGAGCAGGCAAGGTGTTGCGCCGAGTGAAGAGAAAGTAGCTGCCATCTTGAATGCAAACCCTCTACAAGATGCTTCACAGGTCAGATCATTTGTTCAGCTTGTACAGTATTCTGCAAAGTTTCTTCCCAACTTCGCGCAAGAAGCAGAACCACTCAGGAGCCTCCTGAGGAAGAATGAGCCTTTCATCTGGGGTGAAGCACAGGAAAGGTCATTCCAGAAGTTGAAACAGCTAGTTTCACAGGCCACTACGCTTGCATATTTCAGAGGAGACTGTAACACGCGTATTATTGCCGATGCAGGTCCACAGGGTTTAGGTGCAGTGCTGAATCAACTTCAAGACGGCGAGTGGCGAGCAATCTCATACGCGTCCAGAAACCTCACTGAAGTGGAGCGGAGATACAGCCAGACCGCGAAAGAGGCCCTTGCCCTAGCCTAGTATGGGCTTGTGAGAGGTTCAACATTTATGTGTACGGGCGCAAATTTGAACTTGAAACTGATCACAAGCCACTCGAGTGTATTTTTGGCAGGCTTTCAAAACCATCAGCACATGGCTGCCAAGTCGTCGGTGAATTCCAGGTTCCTGAGCCCATGAAGAGAGTAAAGCCGCCTACTGGACCCTGGCAAGACATAGCCATAGACCTGATGGGTCCTCTTCCAACTGGAGAAAGTTTGCTCGTAGTCGTAGACTATTACAGTAGATTCTACGAGGTAGCGATCATGTGCTCAACAGCAGCTAAGAGAGTGGTGGATGTACTGACACAGATATTCTCCAGATATGGATTTCCATATACACTCAAGTCTGACAATGGTCCTCAGTTTTGCTGTTCGGAGTTTGAGAAGTTTCTCTCTGATCACGGAATCGAACACTTGACGTCCCCACCGCTCTGGCCGCAGGCCAGTGGACATGTTGAAATATAGAACAGAACTCTGCTTAAGACTTTGAAAGTTGTTCACGTTGAGGGAAAAAACTGGCGTGAAGAACTGCAGAAGTTTCTGGTAGCATATAGAACCACACCGCAAACAAGCGCTGGTGTTACTACTGCGTTCCTTATGTTTGGCAGAGAGTTGAAAACCAAACTTCCAGAGTTGAGGAGTGCTGGTAACCTGTTGGACGAGAGGGTCAGAGATCGTGATTGGAATCACAAGTTCACCCACAAGGAACATGCTGACGACAAGCGGGGTGCAGCCGAAAGCCCTGTAGTGCCTGGAGATCTGGTTTTACTGAAGAACACGAAAACGTCTGGCAAGTTAGAAGCAAACTTCGAGAGTGAGCCATACACAGTGCAGACTAAGGAAGGCAGTGAGGTGACTGTTAGGGCAAAGGAGGGTGCGGAATACAGGCGGAACAGTTCATTTGTTAAGCGGTACAACCCACCAGGGGAATCCTCGGAAGCCACAGAAGCCGCTTCTCAAGAAAAACCCAATACTCTTCCACTGGAGGAGAGTATAGCGACATCAAGACCAAGGCGGACTGTCAGAATGCCGGAGAAGTACAAGGACTATGTACAAGGACTATGAACTGAACTCTGTTGACACGTTGGACTTATGTTGAAGTCTCTTCGATTTGGCTTCATGTTATTAGATTTTGTTGAACAGTCTTATTGAGATAACTCAATGCGAGCAGACCAGTTTTCATACAGATTTATTTTTTCGCTGTTAAGTGCCTTATTGACTTTTTGTCGTAGTCTGTTTCTAAAGAAAGGAATAGAAGGGATGTAATGTATCGATAGTATTGTCTACCGGAAGTTGTGTTAGCAGAAGTTCTCGGATTCTGTAAACGTGCAAAGGTTCATGGATATTTGTGTGGGCCATGCTTTCCGGGTGTCATGGCGGCCGAATAAAGTGTAGCTTCTTTCATAGTTAAATCTGGTTTATTACACCGCCATCCTGGCGTCATTGTTACACCTCTCTCAAATCTTCAAACATTTCTTTAGCAATTGTATGACTGCTTCCAGCTTTTCTCATCCACTCCTCCGTGTATGACGAGGCGCCACCTAACAAATAATATTCAAGACCTGAGACTGCTTTGTGCCTGTAGCATGCCAGCATGTAGGATCACTTTTTCAATAAAAGAACATAAGTACAGGTAAACCGCACATAAGGAAGCTCTTTTTTTATAATGACTTATTTTTAATGAGTTTTAGTAAGAGATTAATGATGTTAGTTTCAAAGACAACACTCCCAAATCAGAATTCTTGGTTTTCACATGATGTCATAAAAGTTAAAAAACTAAAGTATACCTCCCACAAAGCCGTTTCCAACATGGTATGTGGATATACAGAAAGTTTCAGGTTCTCAAGATGTTTTACTTTGATTTATGAAGGTTTCAAATGTGTCGCACAATTTATCATGTTATTTAAGAATAGCCATTAAAATAAACAAAATTGACCAATTGAAAGTTATTTTTGCATTGTTGATGCTTATAAGCCGATTTAATGTAATTTATGGTGAATTCAATCTTTTCTGATGAGATTTTTTGCGTAATTATGACTTTGAAGTTTTGGCCGCCATTTTGGCGTCCCACTGTGGGACACCAAGATGGACGCTCCATACATTTGTTACTAAAAGTATCTAATACTCACTTGCCTGTAACTCTTAAAAGAAATGCTTTTGGGCTTCAAAATTTGGCCCAGATGTGTAGGTTTAAACCCTCCACAATTCCATAAACATTATGTGATCAAAATCTGTTATTTTACGCTTCTGAATTTTAATATGACGTCAGTGGAAACCACTAATAGCTCTTTCCTCAGTGACTTTTTCTGACTGTTAACAGCCAAGTTTCCTGATTTTATCTGTCGACTATGAAGTTGAGCAGTTCAGTTTCCTCCTGTAGGGTTGGTGTAGTTGAGGATTTGTTTTGTTCATTAATTTTGTACCATGAGCCAAAAATACATACATGATGCAATTTTTCTTCCTCAAGGCAGGTTTACACATGGGCGCTGAAATCCCTGCCAGTTTAGACTTGCGAAAAAAGTTACATGTACATTAAAAAAATCACCTATGTATGTAAACGGGCCAAGAACCACTGAGCCCCCATCCCCCGGGTGGGGCAGTTCCATATAAAAGTGACGGGTTTCAGGGGTTCAAATAAATCGTTTGCTACTTCTTAGAGTCTTTGATTCTAAAATGCATCTACCAGCATTCAAATGGCCCGGGTACCTTTTGAATATTAGCAGGGAAAAATGTGTCATGAACTACTTGTCAGCAAATTAACTCTTAGGGGTAAAAACTGATTCTTTTCAAAATTTCCGAAGCTCATCCCGTCACCTTTATATGGGAGCTCCCCCTCCCCCGGGCACTGAATATTATTATAACATGACCACAAGTGAAATATACATCAATGTGCCTTTTCTTAATCGCTACCTTATTAATTTGTGGTGCCCACCAATATGCCACAAAGCATTTGGCCCTTAAACACTGTAGGATCTTCTTTGTATAGCATCCATCCGTCTAAGTATTGTGCCTTCTAGATCGGTTCGAATCATTGATGCTCTTGAAAACTCTTGCGTGCTGGATGACTATGCCCCGACGGGTCAGCTCACCCATGCCAACATACGACGATATACAATGTTGGGAAACAATGCCTGCACGTCTCTAATAACGCCGTCTAAATCTTCGTCGGAAATGGTGGAATACGGTAATAGGTTTACCAAACCGTACTCACGAATCCTCCGAGCCACAGTACTTAGCGAAACGCTTGACATGTCTGCTACCTCTCTTCTTGAAAATCTTTCTGTGAGAAAATATAACAGTTATTCTCTACTGATCTGGTAAGAAGGTCTTCCACGGCCACCAGAGTTTAGTAAAACTGCTCTGTAACCCGTTTCCTCACTTTCTACTCGTTGTGAACAAAAAGTGAATTTTTCGTAGGCGAACATGATGCAGTTCAGAACACTCGAATCTAAAACATTGGCGGTTACAAGTCTGGCTACCTGTCGTGCTAGCTGTTCAGCACGAAAACACAGTTCATCTAATGTTCATGCTCCACGTTGTTCGCATGAAGCTCCCGCTGCACGTCGTGAATCATTCCCTCTATTGTTGTTTTTCACATGACGTCACTAAAATTCAAACTAAAAAACTATCGATCCTACAGAGATTTTACTTTCACGATGCATTGGAGCAGCTGAAAACTGATTTTCAAGGAAATTTTCGCTTCAAAAGGGTTCTTGATTTTGTGATAGAGCACGCTTGAATTTCTAAGCTTTTGCGTGACGCGGCATTTACATGACGGCCAAGAGAGCTGTCATATAGGTTAAAAAAATTACTCATTTCCGGACATTTTGCTATCTAAACAGTTCATGTATTAGAAAAAGTATTACTTTAATGTTTATGAGTTTCTCGAAGAATAAATTCTCACTTTTGTAGCAAAAGTCGGTAACAGATGTTTCTGCTGGTTTCCGTCCGCCATATTGGAGCTCATCCAGGCGGATACCTCGCATACGAAATATTCCTCTGACCTGAATCTTGGCGAGGGTCATTTTATATGTACCTCCTTTCATTTCCCAGATTCTGGACTTTATCTATCGAACGGTTTTTATTTTTGTTTTGCTCTATTTTGAATGGCGTCACACTGAAAACCAGCAATTCTTGTTATGAACGACTGTCGAAGCTCACCACAAATCACAACAAATCAAATCACAATCAAAACAAATCACGTGATTCGTTTTGGCGGGAAATAAGTCCGCAGTGCATGCTTTCTTAAAGTCAAGACGAACATCATAATGTCAAGACCACCATCTTTTTAAAAGGCGTTTGTTTTGTTCATATATATTATACATATGAACATCATAATGTCAAGACGAGCATCATAATGTTAAGACGACCATTCAATTTTTTTAAAAGACGATTGTTTTGTTCATATATAATATACATATCAACATCATAATGTCAAGATGTATTCCGTAATGCCACGTTTGAGCTCCACATGCCAACGCATTAATGTCACGACAGACACTTTAATACCAGTATAAAATTCAAAACTTTGAGACAAACATAATTTTGACACTGATAACGCGCCATATTTTTCTTAATGTACGTAGAGTGTAATGCGAGTATCAGTGCCCGCTAAATATTTGCACTACTTTCAGCATATAATTATAGTGGTCATTAAACTGCTTGTGTGGTCATTGAACTACTGGCGTGGTAATATTAAACTGTTGGGTGGTTATTGAACTGATTGTCTTTTCTGAACTGTGCCCACAAAACACAAAAAAAAAACGAAAAAAAAAAAGAAAAAAAAAGAGGATTCCAGTGCCCTAAAGACGAGACCCTGCTAAATAGAGAATGTTGTAAGTCATTCTCATGGTTTATTATCAAGATCTTGATCGAATCAATCTTCAAAAAAAATTTCAGACTTCTAGAAGTCTGAAATTTTTTTTTGAAGATTGATTCGATACCATTAATGAAGATTAATGAAGAAAATACGGAACATCCACTGCCTCTTATTGAAGTACTTATATGGGTTAATTGAATTCGGTGCGGCAATTACAGTATATAAACCGGGGCCCGCTAAATTGACCAATCACAGCGCGAGCACGAACTAAGAAAATGGCTCAACTACATGTATACTGATAAACAATGATTCTCCAGCAATATCAAAGCGTAGACCACAATAGGTAAGTACTGTGCAAGGAAATTGTTTTCCATGCATATTGTACACGTCGAAGACATCTAGTGCAGGTCATAGGCTTTATTGATGTTATCTGATTCACAGCAAATAGAAACCAGCTCACATACAACACTGTTGTTTGTATCTAACCTTGGTTTACATATTTCCTTCTTTATAACAGGTAAAAGGCAAAATCATTTTGCATGTGAAAAAGCCTTCTCTGGTAAACATGTTTGTGGCAGATCATAGGAAGCTCTTGTTTTTGTATCCCTGTGGCAAAACAAAACCGAAACGGACGCGTCCATGTCCTCACACTTTATCTGGAAAAATCAAACGACCAAAAAAAAGACACTGCCGAGTTAAATCACAGTTTTATTCCAGTTTTACCCAACACCTCAAAATCCTTGAATCTATTCCTGTTGGGCAGGTAACTGTTGCTGTGATCATCTGGAATGCCGTGTTTTAGCTCTTACTACTCTATTTGCTTTTTTAAAAATAGATCTAGACAGGCCTCTTTTTTTGTTTCGGTCTGGTTATGAGGTAGCTAGGGGACGTATTTCTGTAAACATGACTGGTAAACTTGTATTTTTCTCTTTAAAAGCCGAACTGTGCTTCCTTGCCAAACATGTTTGCCTGAGATTTGCACGTCATTTAAACTACAAGCGTATTAAATTATATTTCTCAAAGATACAACTCTACAACAATAATCATGCAGTTTTTTTTATGTATATGACGTTACTTGACCGAAGCATTTTTATTAATTTTAATGTTTTTTTTCGGTTTTTGGTTCCAGTGCAAGACTGAAAAGCTGCAAAGCTAAAAATGTAGGAGCAAAATGCATGGCTCAAGTCAAACCAAGTTTACGGTGGCACCGGTCAGGCCTAAAGGGTGGATAAGATTTGCCTCATTCTTACATCACAAGAAATAGATCATTTTCCTCTTAGACCCGATGATATCACGAGCAAGCAATAACTCATTCACCAGCCTCCTGCTCGTTTAATTAACTACAAGTGCCAGGAGTAAAATGATACCGGAAAGATGACCAAATCCAAACAGTGCCACATTATTAATATCGTATTTTGGTTTTCCCAGACCCATGAAAAACTTGATAAATGTTTCCATAAATTATATACTATATCCTTTACCAGCTTAGCGCTTGAATTTATAATGTAATGAAATATAGGTCATTGCAGATTAAAAGTGCTGTTTATTTGTCGCGCTAGAACCTTATGAAATGTGTTGTCAAGCCCAACGATCGTAGCATGAAAAAAAAATTGATGTTCTTATCTTACGTCAGTAAGTTAAACGCGGTTACATGCTATCCATGCTTGGCGATCATGCTTGCCTCTAGAAAAAATTCTACCAGAAAGACCTGAATGACATTGTTACAGGTTTTAGCGCAACAAGCTTAAGCTACTTATACTAGGCGATAAAATAGACATAAAATTAATGTAAATATAGTAATGTTTAAAGTTGTCAAGCATATAATTAGTTCTCGACCAACCTGAGAAAATCGTACGTCCTACAGACAAATACTCTTTATAACTAAGCAATTTTACTTTCCCTATGTGCAAATCTTTCGCAGGAAGTAATACTGAATTATTAAAAGTCCTGACGGGAAAAGCACAAGAGTAGTAACATTTGCTTCACCCGTCTTTTGAATTAAACTGTGTTTCCTTGCAAACTCAATTGTTTGGAAGTTCTTTGCCATTTAAAACTTCCACAATCATAAAGTTAACTACAACACTCAAGGCTACAATCCTACAACGGGTGTTTATGGTTGGCATGTATAATGAAACAACTGATAGTTTCTGGTTATAAACAAACAAACAAAAAAAACAAACAAAGAAACAAAAAACACTTCCTTGAGGTAAGCACAACGATTTCAGTTCGATATCCAGCTAAAATAAGATTACTATTACTGAAAAGGAATTCTGGAAAATAAAAGGAATTAATCTAGGGTCTATTGTCGGTCCATTGAACGTTGGATACAGGTTTCCGACTCAAGTTTGAGAAGTCCTAAACGAAAGACCCCGACAAATTCTCCTTAAGCAAAAGAGGTTAGTGAATCAACTTATGCATTTGAAGAATTATAAATTCAGTTGTAAACAAGTTAAGCTAAGAAGCTAAGAAAGCGGGTACTTAAAAGGTGCTCGGTTGTCATTTCTCTATTCACTGTTTTGTCAATCTATTTGACGTTTGGAAACTTCACTAAAATTTCCACTATGGCATTGCCACTTTGTTTGACATTTCGATCGGAGAAGAAAAATTCAGTTTTGAGAAAACGAAAGATCTCTGCTTGTATGTTTCCACTTAGCTTAAGTTAGGAAGGTAAAGAAAATAACTTAAATAATAGAAATAGAATAATAGAAATAGAATAGCAGTTGGATTGATCTACTCCATCTGAGAGATTCCAGAAAATTTAAGATGAAGTATCACACTTGGTTTGAGACGGACAGCCATTATATTGCCGTTCCTCTGCTATGAGGTAAGTTTTGCAGGAAAATTCTCAAATTAAGATTCAGGTGTTTCGAGTGTCGTTCTGTAGAACAGGACTACACTTAAGTCTGTAAGTCTCAAATCTTATGTATCTACACTCATCGCACTAAGCTTAAAACCACCTAATTTCATTTGAACTGATCAACGAAAACTATTAGTACAGTCCAACCTGTATGTGCGACCATATTTCGCAAGCGACCAGCTCCCATAAACGACCACTTATCCGAAACACCAAAATTTTCCCATTCACTGCCTTTTAGTTGGAATTTTTCGTAATCGAACGCAATCACTTTTTAGCATGACAATTTAAGAATTTTCCACTGTTCTTAACCTTTTTAAGCAACTGCTACCTGGTACAATGGTCTGATCTTTGTGTTCCCTGTATGTATGGTACTGCGCTACTCAGAATGTGAGCAGAAGTTTTAGAGAAAAAAACAACATGGATTTACATATACTGTAACCTTAGAATGCAGTGCAATGTATTCTTCCAAAAACTTAGATGTATCCGAACTTCTCAGTCCTGTCAAAAGACCTCCTTTGACTCCCATAACTGACCACATCATGGAAGCGGCTACTTATTCTTCGCAATTTAGGGGGTCACTTACGGGAGGTTTGATTGTATAGGTTAAATTAGAGTTAGTTAAGACCCATTACCATTATCAATAAATTATACTGTTAAATAACTTGTACAACTTGGATAAGTTGTAACTTAGAACCAAGGTTGCTGTCAGTAAGAGGAAATATCCCTACTCATAACATTTACTGACTCAAACTAGAGAATGATTTCAATCCTAGTTCATGATTCTAGACCTTACTTTACCTAACGCTAGATAATCTATTTTCATCCTTCTTTAAGGAGAAAAAAGACGTAGTGGAACTTAATTTTTAACCCGTCAGACACGTTTATATACTTAGGGTCGGTTATTCAGTAAACGGAGTCTAATTTAGGCCGCGGTTTAGCAAAGCTTTGTCCCTCCAAGCAGATATCTTCCTCAGAGGGTTATTTTAAGAGAATAAGTGCTTTTCCAGTGCACACCTCATGATCATGCTTTCATGAATCTTTCACGATAAAAAGTGTTAAGAAAAAAGCGTTGGGCAAACTGAAAATTGATGCGAACACAGTTTTATTAAACACCAGCTAAACTCCGTTTAAATAACTGGCCCTAATTAGAGTTTGGTTTCGTAAGTTTCTCTTGGAGGCTCATGAATAACCACCTTTACAATTGTCTGAAAGCCCTGTTCAATGCTTTCCTCGTCAGTTGTTGTGTCCTCTTTTTCACTTTCTGCATCATGATCTTCAAGAGTAACATCAAATGCCCCGCTCTCCCTTAAAGTACTAGCACAGATCACCTTTGCAGTGGTCAAAACGCCCTGTTCGATGGTTTTCTCGTCAGTTGTTGTGTCCTCTTGTTCACGTTCTGCATTGTGATCTTCAAGTGTAACATCAAATGCCCCGCTCTCCCTTAAAGTACTAGCACAGATCACCTTTGCAGTGGTCAAAACGCCGTGTTCAATGGTTTTCTCGTCAGTTGTTGCCTCCTGTTCTCGTTCTGCACTATGGTCTTCAAGAGTAACATCAACTGCCCCACTCTCCCTTAAAGTACTTGCAATGGTTGGCAACTCGATGTCACCAGTTTGCAGTTGCTGATTTAGTATGTTTTTCCCAGTTAATCCGCGTATCTCTCCTTGTAGTTGATTAAGTGGCAATAGCAAGGCCAGGCAGCAGGAGAATGACCACTTTGGATGCTTGCGCCATTCTTTTACAAAGTGGTAAAGATACACCAGATATTGCACTGAAACAAAATAAACACTCGTTCAAATTAAAACTTGGCCTTTATAGATCCAATTTATATTAACCTTTCATCACAGAGGAAAGACCTGAAGGCGGTTACTTGCACGAGAACAGTACAATGGTGATAATGACTAAAAAAACTATCTGTTTTCACAAAAAGCCTTGAAAGAACTGAGCGATTTCTGCAACAGAGTGTAGCTGGTGCAAATCTCGAAAGCCGCGGAGAGTCACACCGGATAGGTGTTCATAAATTTTCGTGTAAGCACGAAGTTTCTGTTTTTCTTTTAATGATTCTAAATTATATGCTTAGTTCACTACGACACTGGAGTCGGCCTTAAGAATGTATACATATATTGATCAGATCAGTCGTAGATTCAACGCGTCAAGAGTTAACGAGACTCTACAGTCTAGAGAAATGAGCCTTTAGTCACTCTGACCTCCTGCATGAGTCGGATATTAGAATGCCTCAAAATACATCGTAGTTTAACTTTCGCTTTCATTTCAGTTGATTGACTTGAATGGACATCCAAACACTGATACACGTATAGCAGCCCCCTGGAGAATTTGAAGTTTTTATTTTAAATTGATTGAAACAGTCAACCGCTAACCTTAACCGCCCGATTTCGGGATCCTTTCCCGTCTAAAAAATTAGACGGGAAATTTTACCTTTAACAATTAAAGGTAAAATACCCGAAGTGCTAAAGAAGTAAAATAATATTGCAGAATGTTTTGAAACAAAGTTTGAAGGTACCTTACTATGTTTTTAAACCTTTAAGTCCCAATAGTGACCAACATCAATTTTCTCATAACGATAAACATACATTGTCAAGAGATTAGGTTATGAGAATTAATAAAATGATCAGCTAAGAGAAAATGTTTGATCTTTTATCAAATTCTCTGAACTCATTCTTTAAGGAAATATATAGAGATCCGTTTGGAGAATTTGTATGTGGATATTGGGACTTAAAGGGTTAACCCTTTCTCGGATCATATCACAGTACGGTACTATCACCATCAGAGTGTCTTTTTTTAAATTTCTCGTGTTTACCTTTCATTTGTTCTTCATTTGCAGTGCCACAAAGGCAGTAAGTATATACAGGGGATTACTACAATATTATCATCTAACTGGTGATAAAAAGGTATATCACGTGGATAAAATCGTTTAGCATTTTTCTAATTCAGGTGAAGCGTTAGTAATACATTGAAAAAAAAAATAGAAAACTTCATAATTTTGAAATAGACTCAGAGGTCGTTACATTATTTTATTTCAAAAGTACCGAGATTGACTCTAAACAAAGCAAAAACAACCTGACTGGTCAAACGGTTTTTCTCACAAGTGAAAAATGTTGTATGAACAATTACGCGCCGCATACGAATTTTTCTCTAAACAACAAAGATGGTATCGGTTTTTCCGCTTTTTAGAGCGTACATACATACATACATACATACATACATACATACTTACATACACACATACACAACATAGATACAACTTTAATTAAGTGTAATTAGGTCTTCTAGCATCCCTAAGGAGGCCCACTAATCGGGAATACTTTTACGTGAAAATTAGTTATCAGTATAATATTAAGATTTATTACCATAGCTAAACTAATTATTTCAAAAATTGTTAACATATAAATGTTATTTAAAGTAGTTAATAAAAGATATCGGCTTCTGAAAATCCATTTCAGTCCAAATCTGGATTAATTATCAGCTATCTAAGATGAGGGTTTCTAAATAATCTTATTGCAATACTTCACATCTACTTTTATACTGACGTAAGTCACGCATAATTAACATCCCTTGCATGTTTCTTCTTGAATTAACCCCCTGCCCTCTCCAAGTCCTTTTTATTTATGCTGTCTATGATTTTCTTTAATGATATCTCGTTTCTATCGCTCATACCTAACTTCGACCGTTAAGTGGGGTCGAAAAACCTAAGTTAGTGTTTTCCGTATGTAACAGTTCCTGCTCTTGGTATATAATAATCTACCTGTGAGCGACGAAAGAGTTGCGATGTATTTGTCGGTAATAACGTTTTGTTGATTTTAAACTTAAAAATGGCAATATCCTGTAACCTCGTTTTAATTAAGCTAGTTTTGCCCACAAGTGCAAGTATATCGCTCTTCGTAGAGGAATGAGCTAAGAAGACCTTTCCAAGGCCTATTTGATTTGGTCGTGATTAAAAGTAAAAAAAGAAAAAGAACTTTCGTTATATCTTAGTACTCATTTAATGAGCAAATTACTTCAGATTATCACTGCTATGGTTCGCTCAGTACAACTCGTGAATCGTGCGCACTCATTAATTATGAAGTAAGCTATGTATCTTTCATTGCAAGAACTTTTACCAAGTAAATCAGTCTGGTGCCCAGTTAAGGTATGAACCTGACTGTTAAATGTAAAGGGATTGTGTGACAGAAGAATAGAATGCATGATGATAACTTACCGACAAGGACTCCAATAACCAAGGTGTTGGCAACAAAGACCAAGCCATTGAACACCAGAGTATCCACGATTGGGTCGACTGTTGTCGAAAAACCTTCACTCGGGATTGTGCTCACGGCTCCTATTGCAAGGTTTACGAACGTAACGGCAAGTGAAGACAGCATAAGGTTGTTTTCGAATCGATCACTTATGGGCTTTTTTAGCCCGAAATACATCCCGTACAGTCCAGATAAAAGCAATGCTAGCGCAATGTAAGCTCTGCTCTCGCCACCAAGAAGGATCAATCCAGATGTCAAAATAACCTTTCGAACTGTCTCCACTAGTTCCCAATACCAACAACGGGGGTCGTAGTTTTCGTGTAAGAAGCGCAGTCCTGATTGTTCGGTGCCTTGGTCTTCAAAATCATTTGTGTCGTTTCTTGTTTCTTCGTTAGTTTTCCTCGCCGCTCTCTTTTGTTTCCAAATTGCTATGAAAGCAGCAGCAGGCAGAACAATTACATACACAATGGAACAGTATCCCACGATGACTAATCGGTTATATCTCTCTCCTTTGCAGTCAATGCTGTAGTCGGCCTTTAAATACTTCTCGCAGCTTTCAGCATCTTTTTCGTCAACGCAGATCCTGTGGCAGGCAAGAGGTACGACTTGAGCAGTTTTTAGGCAAGTGTTCAGATAGGTCACGTAAAGAAAGAAAAACAGATTTCTCTTTACGATCGCTTTAATGCGCTCCTTTTTCTTCCTTTTTTCTTCTTCATTCGACATACGTCGTGTTGATATCCAAGTGGCAAGGGCGAGGCTAGAAAGGGCGACGATGGCTGCTGCAATATTAAATCCCATAACTGCAAATAAACTTGTGAATGCGTCAAATTTAAAGCCAGGAAGAATGCAGTGGAGGGGAACTATCTGAACGATGTTCATCTGAATAATCTCGGAATATTCCCCAACAACGGAAAGACTTCCAGGCCATTTTACGTATGAAAACGCCTCCATGATCCCATACAGCACCTGATAAAAGCCAATCACAACTTTAATCTTTCCGAGGAGCTTGTCAAGGAAAGGTCGTCCAGCGTCTTTTTTGCTCTTTTTCTTGCTTCCCCACACCACAAGTATAACAAATATTATAACTAACGCCCCAATAATTGCAAGCTGTCCAATCATCCATCCTTTTGTTGGGCACGGCTTACATTTCTTCAGTTGTTTGTGATATCCATCGCTACAAATTGCACATAGCGGTCCTTCATAACCAGCCTCACATGAAGAATTTAAACCTCCCTTACAAGCTTCTGCCATGGGACATCTGTACGGTTGAGGTATGGTGTACGGGTATTCAATACCGGAATCATTTGCTTTGTGTAATTCAGGAGTAAAGGAGAAATTCTTTAGGCTTTTACTGAAGTTTCTGTACTGTTCTAAGTGTGTCTCATCTTTCCACCGCCACCAAAAGCCAACTGTAAGATTCGCAAAATCATCGTGACAATTTAGTCCCTGTTTCTTCTCACATGGTGTACAATTCCCAAACAGATTCGTTCGGTAGTAATTATCCAAACATTTACAGGCGCGAAATCCTGCAAATGCATATGCGTTAGTGCCTGTCAAACAAAAGAAATCGAAACCATTGTTAGGGAGATGATTGCATAAATAATTAAAATAAGGTTAAATAGTTTTTTCGGCAACCAAGTTTTTTCTTTGTTGCTGTGCTTTCCTTGTTTAACGCGTGCTTAAAAAAGGACTTAGTAAGAACTAAATAGTAAATAATAATTTACTATTTATTAGGTGCAAAATAGCAAATATATGATCTAATGCGCAGTAACAAAAAATAAAAATAAAACAGAATAAAAACAGATAATAAATAAATAAATAAATAAATAAAAACCCTAAAAATTTAGTATAAATCTCTCTATATATACAATTAAAAAGGCAATTATAAGATTCGATTAGAAAATATATTGAAACTAAGTAATTGACATCATCTTAAAAACGTTAATCGACAAGTCATTCATGAGTCTTAAAACTATAAATCATGGGCTTCTTTAAAAAGTAAAGTTTTCAGCTTGGCTTTAAAAGGCTTCAAGCTTGTTTCCATCCTTAATGCACTTGGAAGTTTGTTCCATAGAGTCGGCGCAGCCACTTGGAAAGCCCTGTCGCCTAAGGTCTTTTCAGACTTGAACTTCGGTGGAGCAAGTAACAGTTCATCATTTGACCTAAGGTTGTAGGAGGACTTCTCCTTGACTTCGATAAAACTTTGTATATAATATGGAACCAGTCCGTGTATTGCTTTAGATGTCATAAGTATCACGTTGAATTTAACCCTGACACCTATTGGTAACCAGTGCAACTGACACAGTACGGGTGTGATGTGACAAAACCGCGGAGTATTTGTTATTAACCTGGCAGCCATATTCTGAACACGCTGTAGCTTATTGATATTATTTCTTGGGAGACCGTAGAGTAAACTATTACAGTAATCTACGCGCCCCATTACCAGTGTATGAACCAAACATCTGGTTGAATCCAACGTTAAGTATTTCCTGATCTTTCTTATATTGTACAAATAGTAGTAACCTGCACAACATGTTTTTGTAATTTGAGCATCAAACTTCAGATTTCGATCAAACAGAACTCCAAGATTTCGTACAGGGGGGTGTTTACATGACACTGGGGCGAGTTTCGCCCCAGAGCGAGTTCACTCCGGTTCCCTCTCATGGCTCTATAATTGTTGACGATACCACCACAAAATGTCATGCCGGCGCGAGTAACCCCGGCGTGAGTTTACCCCGGTTCTCGTACCGGGGCGAGAATTTCATTCCGGTACGTAATCTCGCAACGGTATCACGTAAACGCGAAAAAGACCACCCGTTTCGATGTGAGATCGGTCCGC